ACAGACCGGCCAGATGTTGCTGTGGAGAGAGAGAAAGGTGGGTGGTGAGGTGTAGTATGTGTATTTCCAAGCAAAAACAAAAAAATCTACAATACAGTTCATTTTTCTTTCAGCTGCAAAACACGTTTTTCCATTCAAAAACTACAGTAAATAGCCGATAAAGCACACGCACGCACTGGAAAAAATGAACATACACACACACACATACATACATCATGGGGGGGGCAGCACTAAATTAAAGCTCAAACAAAAAATCAATACTTTATCAAAAAAAAAAAACCCGAAATCCAACAAAGAATAAGAGCAGCAGAGGCATGCAGAGAAGAGACAGAGCAGAGTCAGGAGCAGCAGCAGCTGTAAACCAGAATCAGAATCAGGCCTAACAGGCATCAGCGGCAGAGTGACGTTACAGAGGCTGGGCAGAGTCTCAGCAGAGCAACAAAGTCCTGGTCTGGTCCCAACACTGTGGCAGCGCAGTCGAACCTGTCTCAGCGGACTCGGTCGTGGCAGAGGCTCAGCAGAGCAGCACGGCGTGGCGCGGCGCTTATCTCAAATAAATTGCTTTCGGCCTACTCGTGATTTTTTTTTCGTCCACATTTTTCTCATTTGGTTTTCGCCGTCGCTATGGCTCTTGGGCTCTGTGTGTGTGTGTATGAACAGTACACATTTCGGACTCCGGCTCCCACAAAGCACCACAGCAGACCCCCCACACCCCTCCTACACAGCTGTGTGAACCTCTCCTGCCGCCCACACGCACCCATACATATGTAAGTGTGTATGAAAAGCATGCGCCTGCCGCTGCTATTTATATGTGCATGTTGGATGTGTGTGTGTGTATTTTATGCTCTACAATTATTATTATTATATCTGTGCCTCTCTTTCTCTCTCACTCCTGTGCATTACGTGTCAGCTCTTCCTCTCTTTTTATCTATAGGTCTCCCACTCTACATTACCATAACCTCTTCTCTGCCACTGCTGTACCACTGCGCTCTCCTCCCACTCACCCGCTCTACCCCTTCACGCTTCCACAATGTTGCTGCTGCTTCTTCTGCACCCATACTCCCTTCTCCCCACCCATTCCTTTCGTTGCTGATGTGCTCCTTTTTCTTCTACCTTTTAAACTTTTTGGGGTCTTTTTTTTTTTGCTTGTTACGTGTTTCACCTTGCGCGCCGTGTTTTATTGCTTTTGCTGCTGCTGCTGCGCTGCGTTTTACTCGTTCGACTCGTTTCTGCCTTACTCGCACACACAAGGCACGGCACACAAACACACACACTGGCGCATGAATGACCCTATCTATCTCGCTCTTGCCTGGCTGGGGAATTTTTGTGTGCACGTCACTATGCGCGTTGGCTCGACCGACCGAACGTCAGTCTGTCGTGTCAGACACGATTTACGTCGTACGGTCGGTTGTTCAGTCGCTCGTTTCAGACACGTTGTACGTCGTTTGGTCGTTCAGTCATTCGTTCTGTCGCTTTTTTGTTGTTCGTTTCGTTTTATGACGTTGCCAGTTTTGTGTCTGCGTCCAACCATACATACATCTATGGCCAGCGTGTATGTGTGCACGAGTGTGGTTGTGTCTGTGCTGTATTCGGTTGCCAACGGCGCTGCCGCTGCTGCCTTCTTGCACTTGCTGTTGCGTCACCCGCACACACTCTCACACACAAGAAGCAGAGACCAAACATGAAACGATGTCTGCCCGTTGCCTCCCCACGCCTGGTCTTTGTACATTCATTCATACATACATACATACATATGTATGTATGTATAATAAATGGTGTGTATATATGTAAATGCATGTTTCTGTGTGTGTACGTTCCCGATTTTGTTGTTTTCTCTCTGCTTCTGACTGAACCTTAGTCCCTCCACTCCACCTCGCAAATGCTTGTCTTTCTCTCCCTCACACACACTCGATGGCACTCCATTACTGCTTTTGCCCCGTCTTTCTCGCTCAATCTCGCTCTTGTGCGCAGCCCTCTCCCTCTCTCATGCAAGCTTCGTGGGCATTGCTTTTGTCTTCTGCTTCTTGTTGTTTTGTTGCTGCTTCGAGAGTTGGCTGTTGTTTTGGATACCCTTCCAGTGCGATAGCGACAGGGTATGATTATTTTGTGGGGAAGTTTGCCAAGCAGAAAGGGAGGGTAGGCAGATTGCCTGGCCAACATAGTACATACATATATGTACATATGGCTCTAAAATTCTTTACTTTATATTCTATTCAGCCTTTATGTTAATTTCACCCATTAACAACATATGCGAAGTAAAACTTACAACTTAGAGCCAACATCAGCAAAAACTTCAGATTTTGATTTCAAGGGTATCAAATCACAGGGCGACGTAGCTCTATTTTTCTTTCCCGTTCTTTTTTTTATTTAAGGCATTATTATTATTATAAAGCTGTGGACGCTGGCAGCGCTGCCCCTGTGCTTTGCATGTTTCGTGTTCCTTTTTAGTTTTTTTGTAAGCCTCTTTTCGTCGTCTGCTGTCGCTGCTGCCTTTTATTGTTGTGTTCGTGTGTATGTGTGTTGTTATTTTTATTAATTTGTTTTGCGCTGGGTCTGTTTCTGACTTTGCCTTTGCCTCTGCTTCTGCCTTTTGCTCTGTGTGAAATTTGGCAACTGCGCCTCTGCTAATTTTGCTGCTGCTTTAATCTTACGCGTGCTTAAGTTTTTTTTGTCCCTCTTCTCCTTTTGCTTGCCAGCTCTTCTGCTATCGCTTTCTCTCTCTCTCTCTCTCGCCTTTGTATTGAAAATGGGCAACGTTGCTCTGTGCTTTGTGCTGTCTGCTGCTGCTGCCCGCAGCCGCCGCCGCTGCTTCTGTGTATTTTTATTGCTTGCTCTCTCTGGCAGCGTCGCTGCCATGCTTGGCTGACTTTTTTCCTCTCCACTCCATCTTCCCTCCTTCTCCCTCTCCGACACACCACGCTTCAGGGTACGTTTCCTCTGCTGCTATCTCTTCTTCTTCGCTTTTGCTGATTCTTCTACTTTTAGCTTTATTTATTTTTTTGCTTTTTGCTTGTTTGTGGAATTTCGTGCTTAATTTTCGGTTTGGTTCGTTCTCTCTCTTTCTTTGTGGGTATCTGTCTCTCTCTCTCTCTCACTCTCTATCTCTTTGTATGTGTTTCATGTGTGCTTTTAGCTTAAATTTAATTCAATTTCTGTTTAATTTTCATAGTGAGAATTTAATTTACTATTTGCTGTTGCCTTTTGTGTTGCCACTTTTGTTGCGTGTTTTTCTCCTCTCCTCCGATATCTCTTCCCCTCTTTGTTGTATTTATTTGCGGCTCTGCAGTTTAATTGCTTTCATTAAAAACAAAATACAGTTGCAAAAATGTTGCAGCACTGAAAAACATGTGGTCTATGGCCCATGCGCTGTTGCCGCTTTTCATGCGCTGCTTCTTCGGCTCTATTCTGAGTGGTGTGTGGTGCGGTGTGGTGCCGCGCTGTTGCCAATCTTCTTCATTGCGCCTGCTGCCGTTGCCCGTGGCCGCATCTTTACCCATTGAATGCGCGATGCGCAGTTGCCGCTTTTCACTTGGCCATTGAATTAAATGTGTGTGTGTGTATGTGTGTGTGTTAGTGCCTTAGAAATGCCATCTTCATCGAAATTGATAGATGGATTGGATGGATGAGCGGGTGAAAATTATTGACGGGCAAGAGAATGGTTATATTTTCTCCTCTGTGAGAGGAAGGAGACAGTACAGTGGTCGCTCGGGGAAATATAAATGCCAGAAATAGAAAAAAGATTAACGTTAGAAGAGCAATGTTTAGTTAGAGCCCCTCGAATGTTCAAGTCCTTTAACTTGTAGAGAAAATAGACTAAAATTGAAATGAAAGTTTATTGTATTCAAGTAAATATGAACTCTTAGGGTTAAGGGTTAATGTTGCTTTGTGGGATGTGATTAAACTATTATTGAATGATACATATATTCATTGGCGTTTATTTTCGACTATTTTGGTTCCAGGGATTATCTTTATGTTGGGAATCACTTTGGGGTTTCTGTTTTTTCCTGGCTTCTCCAGAAATTCTGGACTTAAAGATTTAGTTCATTTATAAATTAAAATGGTTCGGGTTCCGTGACCGCAGTATCTCACCTTCCTGGGACCCTCAAAAAGCCTTCCTGCACCCCCACCGAAATTAATATAATACTCAAAACCTGCCACCCTCATTGGACCACCCCCAAAAACCCCAATCAATGACAAAAAGATAATGAAACGACTACACTTGAGACCAGTCTAAAGCAGTCTGGGGCGACGACATTATCTATTCGATTATTTATGGCCCTTATCGATTTTCTAATCATCATTTTATCGATTGAATGTGTGTTTATTTTTGCATCGAACTAATCTGTTTTTCTCTCTCTCTCTCTCTTTCTATCTGCAGGTCCCCAAGGCGTTTGATGATGAGGTGGTGGAGGCGAAGGAGCCGTTAACTTGTTTTATTCTGTGTGTGTGTGTGCTCTGTGTTTCTTTTTTTTGTTTTGTTTTGTTTTGCGCTGTCGATAAGTGTGCGATAACGATTAAAAGAGAAAAGGACAGCAGACAAGCGACTGGAAATACGAATGCGTAACGAAAAAGTGTGCAAAAGTTGTTAATTAATGGAAAAATACACATATGTACATATATACATACATATGTACAAATATAGGGTTTTAAATCGCAAATCGCAGTATCAATACCGTATTTTACTTCGTGTGGAGGATTTATTTACCATTTTGTGACACGATCAAACACGCATATATACACACACACACGAACACACGGGTATGATCGTGTCGTGTATGCATGCCACTGTGCATCATTTTTTTTTTCTCGCTTGATTATTTGTTAATATAATATTCCCCCGATTCGAAAAAGTGTTAAAAATTGTGGCGATAACTGACATTTCTGTGTGTTTTTTTAAGTGAGAAAATAAATACGTAAAAAACGAAAGAGAGAGAGAGAGAGGAGCAAGAGCGACGTTGCAGCTTTCCACTAAACACATTTTCCATCCACTTCTATTGCAGCAGTGCGTGTGTGTAAATAGATAAAGATAAAAGATCTATAAAAAAAATAAAAATAAATACATAAAAAATATCTATAAAATAACGAGGAAATCCCTCATTCAAACAAAAGTGTTGGAAAAAACAACAAAAAACAGAAAACCGCAACAATAACAAGGGGCGCAAGATGCCTGAGCAACAGGCATGTGCCTAGGCAGATGTTGTTGCATGTTGCAACAAATAAGTAATAAACAACGACAGCACCAACAACAACAGCAACAGCAGGACCTGCAACCACACAAACTTCAACAACACCAACAAACGACAGAGAAAAGAGAAGCAAACCACCCCCAAAACGTAACCTCAAAAGTGCAGTTTTTTTTTCTATAAATCAATTTTTTTGAGAGTGTATTTCTCTGTCTTTGTGTGTGTGTGAGTGCGTGGGAGCGAGTGAGTTTGTGTGCGTGGTTCGTCTGTTGGGAGAGTGAGAATGTGGCAGTGCAATGCTGTTGAGCAGCTCCCAAATACTTACAACAAAAACTTCAACAACAGCAAGAATACGTTTAGCAACACCAAGAAAAGCTTCAACAACACCAAGCCCATCTAAGCAGCACAACAACAAGAGTGTTTGAAGCCAAAAAAAAGAGTTCGGCATGAAATGGAAGCAGCTATACGCTCCTCTTCAGTGCAGGTCGGTGCTCCGCCGCCCACAAATAACACCACAAACGGTGCACAGCAGCAGCAGCAGCAGCAACATCAACAGCAGCAGCAACACCAACAGCAGCAGCAGCAGCAGCAACAACAACACCAGCAACACCAACAACACCAGCATCAGCTTCAACAACAGCATCAACAACACCAACAGCAACACCAGCAACACCAACAGCAGCAACACCACCAGCACCAGCAACAACTTCATCATCATCATCAGCAGCAACAGCAACAACAACAACAACAACAACGTGCTGCAAGCAGTAGCCTGCAACACCAGCAACAGCAACATGATAATGGACCAACGTCCCATCATTTGCATCAATCATCAGCCTCCAATCAGCAGCAGCAGCAACAAAGTAAAGCAGTGCAACAGCAACAGCAACACCAACAACACCAAAAGCAGCAACACCAACAGCAGGCTGCCAATATGTCCGCGTATCAGCAGCGTCTGCCAGCCGGTGCATCATCGATTCACAG